CACACGCACGCACGCACGCACGCACGCACGCACGCACGCACACACGCATGCACGCACACACGCACGCACACACGCACACACACACACAATTTTCATCTTACCATGCTAACGAGCCGTAAATTTGTGTTCTCGACATTTACTTCATAGTTGGCTCTTGTTTTTTCTGAGAAAGCAGCAGTTTCTTGTATTGTGAATATATAAAGATAAAATATCAGCATGATGAAATAACCCACAAAAGATTGAGCATTGGCCATTTTCCGAGCTGATTAATTTATTTTTCTGAGCTGATTAATTAATCGTTGCAAATTAATTTTATATATTTTTCAATAATAATTTTATACGAAAAAAAGCACAATGAGGTTAATTATAATAAACTCTTAATTATAATAAGCTAAATTGTTAATGTCATACAGCATTGAACTTCCATGAAATGTACGTGCGAGTCAAAATTTGCAAGAGAGAAAGAGTAGATGCTAAGTCCAATCTTTAATTGGAAAAACTGAACGTTATAACAGAATAATACGGCTTTTATTTAGAGACTTATCGAAGCGTGAGTAGACTAGAAAAAAACAAAAAAAACAAATATTTGTAAACATGAAAGACAAGACACGGAAATGATTGCAGAGATAAGACGAGAAAGAAGAGAGAGAAGAAAGCATGGAAAGATTGGAATAAGATAATATCACAAATCTTTTGATCTTTTGGTCTTACGCGAATGTTGTATTATCCTATTGTAATATTTAACTAAAATATATAACTATTAATAAAGATATATGAAATATATGAAGATATATGAAGATATGATAAAGATATATGAAAAAGAGAATTTAGTAAAACTTCCTAAATTGAATAATGAATTCAAAATAGGTAAAAAATTATCGAAAAAAAAATGTTTATTGAATTGTCGATGTTAACGTGGCACGCGGAAAGAAGTAGAAATGAGAATAACAGATGTGTTGTTTCGAACAGCACTAATTAATTTGAAACATCTACTCAAATACCGAATATAATTTTAGTAAACAAAGAACATTAGATCAACATCTTAAAATATTGACCTTTTAAACGCGCGCGTACTCGCTTAATATTTTAAAAATATTTCAAAAATATTTACCGGATGTATGATCTCTCTTCGAATATAGCAAAAATGTTTTACAAATATGTAGTGTCAAAGTTATTTATTGATGTTGATACAACGCGTTAAAGTGCTACATATTAGAAAACGTTATACCTTATTGAATATCATTGCATATTTTAATGATACATTAATGACGTCTCTAACGTTAACAATACGTCATTAATACAATATTCGACGTAGTTTATTATATCTTTTTAATTTCCGAAATATACATAAAAGACTAAAAGTATCAGTATGAATGAAATACAAAAGCATGTTCAAATTTTTTGTTCCTCAAGTCAAACGTTAGAATTAAAATGTATATGTGGATTACAAGAAATTTTCATATATGCCGCCCATACACACACAAGTTCTTTATAATAAAATTTTATTTTGTCAATAATTTTATAAAAAAACTTTAAACATTTGCTAGCAATTAAACATGAGTATTTATATTTAGAGAATATTTATATTCATATTTACAGTTTCTCCAACGAATGTAGAATAAATCTTAAGAAAGTTAATCGCTAATCGTTAATCGTCAAGTGGACACTGTGGATTATCATAATCTGTAGATTTAGTTACTTAAAAATATGTATTAACAGATATAATTTATTACACTCGACAAGATTTTTGTTTTATTAGAAGTGAGATATCTAAATGTCATAACATCAATAAAAAATAAGTGATATAATTTGTTAATAAGTTATCCGAAAGAAAATAACAAATTAATTCATGTAACAACAGAGATCGTAAGGAATTTGAAATTAATGTATGCTGCTGTTAAAACGATTTCGCTCTTACGTGGGCAAAATATTTGCCGTCTACTTCAGGTAATTCTATATTAGTTTTATAATAACATCGTTAGTATATTCAGATATTATGTTACTGAATAATTGTAGAATATGAAGGATTATGCAATCACATTTAAATCATGTCTGGAAAAGAGATTGATCTCATATCTGGTAATGATTCATCAATCTCATCTTCTTCATGTTTTAAAGTATTCTCTAGTAAAGCATGATATTCATTAAGAATTATGGAAATATTTTACGAAACCAGGCGATTACTCGCGTAACATTTGTAAGTAATTCATGTGTTGACATAAATACAAATTGTTCGCTAAATTTTTAGTAATGGAAACATCAAAGAAACTTTATGAGTTATAGTAATTGGACATTAATATGCAGTAATTTTTAATAATTAGATAACTTAACGATTTATACTTATATACATACATCTGTTAATTATCGTCTATTTTTATCGAGATCATTAGGAGAGAGAACGTAGCCAAGATAATCTCCTGGTAGAGCTGATCTTCTGGGCGAGTGAACTTTTCCGCTCAAGATAGTAAACTTTTTCCCATGGTTGAATATGTAGCAAATAAACGATATTAACTAGTGATGTCTGTTAAAGTGATAATATTTTTTACTGTATTTAGAGAGACAATGTACTCGTTGTACCATTAAATTAGTATATGTATAGTTTGTGTCTCTAGAAGTTGCTTGTTAATTTTGCGATATCTATTAAGGGGATTCCATACTAGAAAATTTGACCCATAATATTATAAATATTAAGATAACTAACTTTTTTCTGTAAGATTTATGTCATATTGGTTGCACAGAATTACAAATATTTTTGAAACACACACTGAAAGTACGTGCAATAATGAAAAGATTTGAACATTGCTTAATATATGTGACAAAACGGACAAAAATTTTTTAAATTGATTTATCGAGCTGTCAGTTCGCGTAAATATTTAATTGATACAAAAGTTCTGTAGCTTGTACGTGCTGCACGTATATTTGCTCCACTAATGAAAATTTTAAGGTACATTTCTGTATCTTTACAACTGAGTATACGGGTTTAAAAGTATATGAAAAGTTTGCAGAAAGATTTCTATATATGTGTAGTTATGTTTTTTAGCATGGTAAAACAAAATACACATTTATATATATAAAATTTATGTACATAACAAAATACGAAAAGAATAATATGATTATGTTAGTGACAATAGTCTCTACGTTATCGACATTTATGTTCCATTTTGACATCTCCTTAAGAAATTCGGACAAAACCAATCTTTTAGATATTTTCAAAAGATTATTTATTAAGATTAAAATTTAAAAATAAGAATTAGAATATAACTGATGATATATATAAAATATGTGCAACATTTTTTAAATATATAGTGCAAACGTGGTTTTCCCCAAGTGAAATCTTTACTATACAACTTTGAAAATCGTAAGAAAAAAGAAAATATTTATATATATACAGGGTGTCTCAGAGCAGTCTATGAAGTGTTTCTGGAGACATAAAGCGGATTGAGGTGAACAAAGTTTATAAAAGTTCCATGCCATTTTGTTATGTTCGCAATAAATCATGAAGTATTAATTAAAGAAGATTAGTGAATGATAACATATACACATGCATACACATACACATGCATACACATACACACACACGCGCGTGCGCAATATGGTAGATTAACTGTAATTGCAGTTTTTTGTTTGCAGAGATTCTGACTCTAATTTTGATTTTTTAAATAGATCTATATCTGTCTCTTTCTTCCTCTCTCTCTCTCTCTCTCTCTCTCTCTCTCTCTCTTCTCCTCTCTGCATCCCTTCCTTTTTCTCTCGCCCTCCCTTTAAAAATTGACACATCTTTTGTCTCTGCGTTCTCTACTAGAAAACTCTATCTTTCTATTTTCTAATTTCTACATCTTAATAAGGAAAAATATGAAGAAATTAAGACATAATTGCAGTTTTTCTTCTTTTTTTCATTGCCTCCATAACTAATACTATAAAAAGGATTGACATGAAAAGAACTTACGAATTAAGGAAATTCCTGAAGCAAAGATATAACGTTGTCTGCTGTAGTATATTTGTTAGGTCAAACTGAACAAAAGTCCATTTTGCAAGTAACTACATGGATTTTTATTTATTAATTAAAAAAGATTTGTGCATTACTGCGCACAATCATGTAACAATTTTCTTTTATTAATAATTAAAAATCTACGTAGTTATTTGCAAAATGATAAAGGACTTTTTGATTCAGTTTGACCTAATATACAAGCACACGACAGCACACATTGTTACTACAGCTTATCTATCATTAAATATTAAACATATTTAAACCATAAAATATTACCAAAAATATTAAATGCGTGATCATTCATTAATCTTCTTTAATTAATATTTCGAGATTTATTGCAAATATCGCAAAACAATATGGGACTTTTATGTTCATCTCATCGCTCTATATTACTACGAGCACTTCGTAGACTGTTCTGAGACAATATGTCTCCGTATATACATTAAAAAAATTTTTCTTGCTTTAATATTTGACTAATTAATCAAGTATTGAAATTTCGCATTAAAGTGCTTAAGAACTGATGCGATATACTTGACATATCGTTGGTGATTTACAGAAAGAAAAGGATGACTAACCGGCGACACAAGAAAGGCAACAGCAGACCACTTTATTTCCAAGGAGCAAATGTCATATCGAATGGTTGTCGAAATAACTCTGAATGCCATTTTTGACGGAAGTCAACAAGTGGATAAAGCCCATTAAGAATTTGTTGCAGACTCATTTTGGTTCTGGCTGTTTTCCTGCTATGCGCGCAGATATATTTAATAAATAATAGATATCTCCTAGAAAACTATTATATCTTTGCTTCAGGAATTTCCTTAATTCGTAGGTTCTTTTCATGTCAATCCTTTTTATAGTATTAGTTATGGAGACTATGAAAAAAAGTAGAAAAACTGCAATTATGTCTTGATTTCTTCCTTATTTTTCTTTATTAAGATGTAGCAATTAGAAAATAGAAAAATAGAGTTTTCTAATAGAGAACACAGAGACAAAAGATGTGTTAATTTTTAAGGGGAAGGAGAGAGGAGGAGAGGGAGGAAGAAAGAGACTGAGATAGATATAGATCTATTTAAAAAATTAAAATTGGAGTCAGAATCTCTACAAACAAAAAACTATAATTCTGCAAATTGAAAGTCATCTAGTTTATCTAAATGAAAACCGCATTTCAATATTTTTAATAGTTCAGGAGATAATAGGAATGTTAGAAATTTAGATGTGACTTATAGTAAATAAATGATATAAATTAGTAAGTTCTGTTACACAGAGATTATATTTATCTCTGTATATTCAGACAATGTTGTTATTGTTTTACTAAAATATTTTATTTTCTTCTTCTCTCTCAATAAACCTGTTTGCTGAATGTTTTAACAAAATCTATTAAGATAAAAATAGACACTTTCAGAGATTTTCAAAAGATAATTTACATAAAACTGAACTTAAAATAAGAATTAGAACTTGAAATAAGAATTAGAGTTTAATTGGCGATAAGATATTTGCAACATTATATATGCAGGATGGCCCACGTAAAGTGTGACAACTTAAAAACTCTAAAAATATTTGTCATATCAGAAACATGTGCTAACGTTGTTATTCGTTTTTAACCAAGTTCAAACACTTAATAAAGTAATAAAATAGAAGAACTATGAAGTCTTTTATTGAATTTATAGTTTTATAACATTAGTTTAAATGCACTTTACTTTAAAGTTTAAATGTTTGTAACTTTTAATAGAAGTATTTTTCAAAGAAATATTCCAGATAAAGTTTTGTTTTTTCCCGTAGAATTCAAATATGTAACATTTTATAGGAAATTCAATTTGAAATTATGAAGTTATCTTCCGCCCTCTTTAACCTTTTGGGGACCACTTTATGTATGATGGTTGGGAGACATGTATCCCAGTGGTCCCCAATGGGTTATGGAACAGAGATGAATTTTTATTTATATAGTTTATTTATATCGTTTTATTTATATTTATATAGAAAGACTCTTCGAATACATAAAACTTTTTCATGTACAACTTTTCGATACGAAAAATATTTTTAGAGATTTGGATTGTCATACTTTACATTGGCTACTCTGATGTATATATTCTATATATATATAAACATATATATTATTTATTCCTTACAACATTGAAAATAGATAAAATATTTTGTTATAATATAAAAAAAATGTTTTTATACGTTAATTGAATGAAAATTTGTATATAGGCGCATAATCTTTCACATTTTTTTTGTTAATAACTTTGTAACAAACAATGAGCGCTGGATAAATCCTTCACTTTACTTTACTTAGAATGATGACTTTGATAACATATATCAAAATAATTAAAATTGAATTAAAATCAGATGGTGACTCCTGTTTTAGCATAATTAGTATTTTCTTTCTTCTTGAATAAAAATTTACTTTACATCAATTATATTTTATAAAAAGCTCGCATTTATTAAAATTTGTATATTTATATCGAGATACAGTTTTTAAGACAGATTTGGAATAAAATACGTCTAAAATCGGAAGATAAGACTTCTAAACGACATTTTCAAGACGGTGGAATATAAGATATTTTTAAGACATCTTTAAGACGTCTTTTGCATACTGTTTTGCCGTATTGATTCTGGATATAATCTATTAAAAAGTTGAGATGAAAAGAAACTTTCAGATGTTTTTCAAGTGATAATTTACAAAAATTTGAACTTAAAAAATAAGAATTATAAAAAAAAAATACGAATTAGAATTTAATTGATGATAAGATATATGCAGCATTTTCTAACGCATTATGGAGACATGTTTTCTCAAGTGTCCCGATTTTAGACGTTGTGTTGTGCGGGAAGATATATTAAGAAAGATAACTGTTAATCATCAATCGGGCAATTTGGATCATCATCAGTCATCGTTGCAGATTTAGTCAACTGAACGTACATATCAAACGGACATAACGTAGAACACTTGTGAAGTGTTTTTTTTACTAGAACTGGTGGAATACCTAAATAATATAGTATCTGTAAAAAGTAATTCAAATCGCTAATAAGTTATTCGTGTTTTACAAAAGTTAAAACAAAGTAATTTATATAACATCAGAGATTGATAGAAATTTGAAATTTACATACTACTGCTGCTATAAAAACAATTTTACTTTTACCTGAACGAAATAATTGCCGTCCTTTTTATGCAATTCTATAATAACGCTGCTGGTATATTGAGGCATTGTGTCATTGAATAACTTTAGAGCATAAAGAACTGCAGCCACATTTAAGCCATTTCCAGAAAAGAGATTGATCTTTTTATCTGTTAACTTTTGATTCATCTTCGCTTTCATGTCTTTAAGTACTTTGTATAATATTGTACCTGCCAATATAATTATAGAAATATTTTACGATGCTAGATGATTGCTCGCACAATATTCACAAACGATTCATATTAATTGATATATAAATTGTTTACATAAATTTTTAGTAAATGAGATAATTAATAGAAACTTTTTAATGACTAGAATAATCGTTAAGAAAGTTACATTATTTTTTAGTATTTAATTAATTCTTAACGTTTGTATAACTTTGATCTACACTTGCCTCCATTAAGATGAATAGGATAAGAACCTATCATATGAGCCAAAATAGACGCTCGGTAAAGCTCACCCTGTGGTTGCATCATCTTTTCTGCCCAATGTGGTAAACTTTTTCCCAAGGATAAATATACATTAAATAAACGATATAAATTGATAAGGTCGTCTATAGAGGTAATATTTTTTTTTGTATATTCAGACAATGTAACCATTGTTTCATTAAAAATGCTTATTTTATTTTGCAAAAATTGTTTTTCTTTTTCATACTGTTGCCGTACTGATACTGGATAAAATCTGTTAAAAAGTTGAAATGAAAAAAAAACTTTTCGATGTTTTTCAAGTGATAATTTACGGAAATTCGAACTTAAAAAATAAGAATTATAAAAAAATACGAATTAGAATCTAATTGATGATGAGATATATGCAGCATTTTCTAACGCATTATGGAGACGTGTTTTCTCAAGTGTCGCGATTTTAGACGTTGTTTGTGGGAAGATATATTAAAACAGATAACCGTCAATAAGTCGTTAATCGTAAACAGGCATCTTGGGTCATCATTATCCATCGCAGATTTAGTCAACTGAACGTACATATCGAACGGACATATTATTGTATGATATTAATGATCGTAAAAGAAACAAAAAACGAATCAATTCACTTTAAAAACTACTCTTCCGTCCGATTAAAACATCATATATCGAAACTTATGTTAGCATTAAAGTACTTAGGATGCGGAATATATACATATATTGATATATATACATCATATTAGTGATTTATAGAAAGAAAAGGATTACTGACCGAAAGCATATATAGGGTTGCACGAGAGAATCGTTTAACCAATGAGCATATGTCATATCGAATGGTTGCCAATCTAGATCTGAATTCCATTTTTGCTGATTAACAGGCGGATAAAGCCCTGCAAGAACTAATTGTAAACTCATCTTGTTTATGGCAGATTGAGTGCTACGTGCGTAGACGTTTGCTGGATTGTAAGTGTCTCCAAGAAAACGATCGTATCTTTTCCTTAGGAATTTTCCTAATTCGTAGGCTCTTCTTTTGCCAATCTATTATAATATTATTTATGGAGATAACGGAAGGAAAAAGAAAGAAACTTCAGCTATGCTATTTAATTTCTTCCTTAGAGAGTGATAATAAGGAAATATAAAAATAGGTTTTTCCCGGAGGGAACTCTGAGACGTGTGAGAAGTATCGAGCTTATTGCTTAACACGGATGTATTTGTTTGTATTTTGTTCTTCACAAATTGACGAAAATATTGTATAAGAACAAAAGACAGTGTACAGTATGCTTCAATACTATTGATAAAAAATAAATAAGTGGATACATGCCTACATGAGAATTAAATTGAAGTTATTACATATTTATATTGTTTTGATATATTTTTGGCTTTGGTAAACGTTCAATGATTTTATGTTATATGTTAAACTTGTTTTACCGACGATTATAAATAAATAAATTTATATATATATATATATATATATACGCACAAAAATATATACAAAAAAAATATATATATAAAGAGTCTGTTTAAAGCAATTTAGAATAATCTAAGTTAATGAAAGGAAAAAAGAGGTATATTCTATATTGTTGTTTTCATTATTTTTAATAATATTTTGGTTTTATGGAATTTTAGTGCTGTGACAAAATTTTTTCCATAATATGTAACGCGAGGATCTTAAGTAAAATATATATATCAGAAAACTGAAAGATAGTTTTTCTATATTTGAGGTCGCAGTGTTGTTACCTTTGTAATACATATATCATAATATATATATTTCTATTTTTTAGAAATTATTTTAGAAAATTTATTTTTGAAATATATACAAAAATATTTTATAAATAATCTTGCGAATATTTTAAAAATATACAACCTTTGCTACGTCCAATAATTACAGCATTGAGTAGATTAACAACCTTTTAAACAACGTTATAATATCTACTTACATTAATTAAAGGACCGTAAAAGTCCGGATCAGGCATGACTCTTTTATCTGACTCATTAAGCAGATAACGATACGATGTTCTTTCTGCTTCTTCCAAATATCGGTCACCGCGATTGAATAACTAAATATTTCGACATAACTACGTTAGTCTTATATAATTTTGAGAAGATATTGTTATTAAAGAAATATTTTCCTATCTCACCACGCTAACTAATTCTAAACTTGTTTCCTTGTATATTTCATATTGAGGCTGACATAGGCGTTCTGCAAACTGTTCTATACAATATTCATCCTCTAGGAGCACATTCGAACAATGTATTAATATAATAAGGTAAACTACATAATATTGAATTACTGCCATTTTTCAGGTTCTATACAGAAAAATCAAATTATTTTGTAATGAACATTTTATAGAAAAAAATACAAGGCGTTAACACAACAGCTGAGTGTAAATATGAGATCTAACTTTTGTTTGAAAGGACTGAACTTTATAACGGAATGATGTCGCTTTTATTTGGAGACATCAAAAGTAAAAGAAATATAAACATGAAGGAAATAGAGAAAGAAGGAGGAAACAAAGATAAAGATAAAAAAACGAGGAAAAGAAGAGGGAAAAATAGAGATTTTAGAAAGATATGTGAGAAACTAGAGAAATAGAGACAAAGAAGATAAGCAATTATAATTTCACAAACTTTTTGATCTATTTTATGAATGCTTGCGTTTGTATTATTGCATTCTAATATTTAAATTAAAACATGTAAGACATTTACAAAGGTATATTAAAAGCAGAATCAAGTAACTTTCATCAGTTTTTTCATCAATTAAATTTAATACAGATAAAATAGAGTTTATTGAAAAATAATTAAAAATACAATTTATTGTTTTATGAATGTAACATCTTAGTACATGAAAGAAAATTGGAACGAATAAAAGTAATAAAAAAATAACAATGATCTTTGAAATAATATGAAGTTAGAATATCTTTCACAAGCTCGAGAGAAGACTATATATTTTTATAATATTATTTATATTTTACAATGTTTTTTTATTTTTATCTTTTAAAATATAAATAAAACAAAAATAATATAACTTCTATGATATACACAAGTTTCAAAAGTATACAACTTATTAAAACATATTAATAGGCAAATGAGAGTCAAATGTTGATTTTAGAGCGAATTTTTCATTAAGGTTGAGAGGATAATGATGTTTGACAGAGTCAACGCACGCATTAGTCTTTTTTAGTCTTTAAACGTACGTAGTGAATCAACCTTCCACGTTAAATCGATTCTAAATCTCAATTCTAAATATCAATATAATACATTTCTTTAATTAACCTGAAATTCCCCATATTAGTTTGATTCCTAATTATAGTTGCGAAAAATATCGTCTCAGCTAAGAATCAAATTTGGATTTTCCTATTTGCCGGGCGGGACGCCGCACTAATTCGGCTACTGAAACCTCGACGATATTCTTCGCAACACAACACTTATAAGTAATTGTTTTGGAACGATAATACTTTGTTTCGGCCAGCGCGATAAACACAACTTCTATGATACACAGACTCTCGAAAGTATATAACTTATTAAAACATACTAATAGACAAACGCTGATCTTATAGAGCGAATATTTTTTAATAATATTGAAAGGATAATAATGTTGTAAGTATAATAATGCAGAATTGATAAATAAAATATTATTGTTTTGACAAAATATTTGAAAATCTATCCGGCACGTGCATTGACACTGTCAAACGTTATTATTCTCTCAACATTGTTAAAAAATATTCATTTTGAAATCAGCGTTTGGCTCTCATTTGCCTATTTATATATTTTAAAAATGATATAATAAGGTGCAGGCAAAATCTAAGTTTGTTCAACGATTCTTTTACGAAATAATATTTGTATTAATTCATTCTTTTCAAATAAAAATTTACTTTACGTAAAAAATTCCAAAAAAAACTTATATATATATATATATATTTAATTTATGTAAGTATTTATATCGAGAAGTACAGTTTTTAGAATAAATTTGGAATAAATTTTAAGAAAGATAACTGTCAATTTTTTATTAATTCTTAATTGCAGTGTTCATCATCAGTATTTGTTATTTCTCTAGTTTTCTGAACGAATTTATTGAACGGGCATAATTCTGTGCAGTTGAAAACTTTTTGTTTTACTAGAACTGGCGGGACATCACCAAAATAACGTAATATCTGTAAAAAGTATATAATTTCATTCATTAATAAATTATTCACGTTCTTAAACAGATAGGACAAAATAATTCACATAACGTCAAGGAATTCGAGATGAGTGTTTGCTGTCGGTATAACGATTTCAGTCTTACCCTTACAAAATGTTGTTTATTTTTTTCATACAGTTCTACAATAACGCCGGTCGTAAACGGTGGTATTTCGTTATCAAATATATCTAAAGCATTAAGGAGAGCAACTACATTCAAGTCATTTCCGACAAAGAGGTTGACCCTTCTATCTAAACCTTGATTGATCACATCGTTAGCATCATGAATTATTCTATATAACATTGTACCTGTGTCAAAAGTTATAAAAATGTTTTTTGAAAATATGGGAAATTACATGCGCAACATTCATGAGTGATTTATATAGATTTAAATATTTATTTGCATAAATCTTTAGTAACTGAATCAACTAATAGAAACTTAATAATTAGAATAATTGGGCAATTTGTATCATTTGTATTATTTGAATTATTTATATTATTCCTTAATAATTTATAACGTTCGTTTGATATTAATTTAAACTTGCCTCCGTTAATTTTTTTCATGACCTTGGAAAAAGAACACATTTTATAATATAAGAGAACCGCATCTTTAAGTAATTTAGTTGATACACCTCTTCCTACGGTTTCATATGTGGTGAGTACGTGATATAAATTATAGAGATCTTTTAATTTAGTCATATTTTTAGTATATGTCGAAAATGTTTGTATCACATCATCCAATTGTTTTATTTGCTGTTGCGCTGATTGCGTTTCTTCTATGCTTTTGTAAACATTATGAAATCTATTGAAAAGTTGAAATCAGAAGAAGTTTCCAGACATTTGGAAAAGATAATTTACATATTTAAAATTATAATCATTAGAATCAAATTTATGATAACATATCGAAATATACATATAACATTTTTAGACACAGTAGAAGCATCGTTTTTTCTCAAGCAAAATAATTATCGTATAGTTATCGTATAGTTTTAAAGACCGCAAAAGAAAACAATTCAAATGACTTTATTTTAAAAGTCATCTTAGTCCGATTAATTAATCAAATATCGTAATTTATATTCGAATTAAGTTAATTATATTTGCTTAAGATCTGATGCTAATCCCTCAATATATACTTAGTAATTTACAGAAAGAAGATAATAACTAACTTGCTACACAAATGCGGCATCAGCAGAGCATCTTTTTTTAAAGAAACAAATGATATATCGAATGGTTGCCAATTTAACTTCTGATGCCATTTTTGTTTAGGGTGAATAGGCGGATAAAGCCCAGCGAGAATAAGCTGCAGAGTCATCTTGTTCCTAATGAATGCCGTGCTACGTGCGACTACATTATGTATAAAATAAACGTCGCCGAGGAAATTATTGTATTTTTCCCTCAAGAATTTTCCTAATTCGTAGGCTCTTCTCTTGCCAACCTTTATCATTATATTAATCATGATAGACAACAAAAAAGAAAACAAGCTGCAAATACGATACTAATTTCTTTCTTAATAAAATGTGCTAATTAGAAAATAAAAGGGCAATGTTTTCCAATAGAGAACACAAAGACAAGAGAAGTGATGATTTTATCGTTTAACACTGATATGTTTGCATATACTTCGTTCTTTATGTATTGATATAAGTATTGTGAACCAAAGGAAGTATATAGGATGCATCGATAACGATGATATAAATGTGGATATTTGTGATATGCTCACATGAGAAGTAAATTCGAATTATTGCATATTTGAAACGCTTTGGCAAAATTTTAAATTGTGAATAATCTTCAACGACTTTATATTATATTAAACTTTTTCATCGACGAGTAGAAGAATTTAAATGGAAACATAACGTTTGATATATCAGTTTAGAATAAACTAGTGAAAAAAAATATAATGTATAAGTTTTTTTATTGTGGCTTTTATTATTTTTTCATAGCATTTTTCTTATAATTCATTTCATTTTATAGAATTTTATAGAATTTTTGTGCAATTTTAGCGCCGCGGCTAAACTTTTACCATAATATATGTGACAAGCAAGATTTTTTAAGAACACCAGACATGAGATAGCGGAAGATAAGAATTTAACTACATGTTTAAAGCTGTACTATTGTTACCATCGCGTCATATATATCTCATGTTATTGCTGATTTCTAGTCTTTGGAAATTGCTTGTAAATACATGACGTGTGCTACTTTCAACGTTTATAGCAATAAGACGGTTAATAATCTTTAGTAATATACGTTATAATATACAGGGTGTCCGGTAACTCACGGAGAAGTTGCAGTGTACAAGTAGATTAGGTAAAAAATAAACAGAACAAAAAGTTTCTCTATTATTTTGTGAACGACCATATAAAATTTTGAGTTATTAATCAAAGAAGATTCGTGAATGATCACGTGCCATACGGTAGATGAGTTGTGATGGCGACGTCTACCGCTGTATTCTTGTATATTAGATCAAACTAAAAAAGTCCTCTACCATTTTCCAAATAACCACGTACAGTGTTTAGTTATTAATTAAAGAAGATTGGTGTACAGTTGTACGTCAATCTTTTTTAATTAATAATTAAATATTTACGTGGTTAGTAAAATAGTAGAGGATTTTTTGTTTAATTTGACTTAATATACAAGTATATAGCGATAAATGTCGCTATCACAGCTCATCTACTGTGTGGCGCGTGATCATTTACAAACCTTCTTTGATTAATAAAATGAAACTCAAAATTTTATGTGATTGTTCGCAAAATGATAGAGGAATTTTTTGTTTTGTTTAACTTAATCTATCTGTACACCGCGGTTTCTCCGTGAATTTCCGGACACCTTGTACTCGGTGAGAAATGACTCGTCGATCGACGAGTCATTTCTCGCTGGGTATAAGTCGAATTTTATTTTAATTAAAAGATTATTGCCGTCTAAATAGTCATTGATACACACATTTATATAAATTATTTGAGTAATATTTGCATATAATTCAAGTAATCTGTAGATCCAAATAAATCCATATTATCCAAATTGTTCATTTATTTAGATAATTTTCTTCCATAATATGTGATACAAAATTTTTTTTATTTATTTATTTTTTGTTTAATTCTTATAAAGATCATAATATAATATCTCATCAAGATTATAATCTAATTCTTATAAAGATCATAATATATAAATATAAGTATAGGAAAGTGGGAAAACAGATTTTTTATATTTGAGGCTGCAGAATTGTTATATATTGCGTTATATATACTATGCTACATATTAATGTTGATATCCAATTTTTAGAAGTTACTTTTGAAAATTTACAATTAAGATATATATATATATATATATATATATATATATATATATATATATATATATATACACACGTTTCTAAATAAATTATAAAAATAAAATAAAAGTATACAACGTTTGATACGTTCAAAAATTACAGCAATAAACCAATTAACAATTGTCTGTAATGCATATTGCAATATGTGAGTTGAGTCTTACATCAGTTAAAAGACCATCGCTGTCCGGATAGTAACTCTCATTTGTTTGAAATTGTCCTGTTATATCATCTAACATCCGATCGCCTTGTCTGAATAACTGAATGTTTCGATATAATGTTAATCTTTCATATGTTTTCGAGAGAAAATATATTAATATTAATAAATTTTTAGTTTTTATAACTTACCATGCTAATGAATCGTAATTTTGTTTCCTGGTATTCTGTCGACTGATTTTTACTGACTTGACATACTTTTGTTTCTGCAGTCACACTCAAACAATACATTAGTATAACAAGATAACCTATATAAAATTTGTATTGGATATTTGTCATTTTTCTAGTTTGTTATGATGAAATGGATTTAGATATTTTGTAATGATGATTTTATAAAAAAACGATTGTTCCTGTAAGAACAACTGTTAAATATAATAAACGCTAAACTGATAATAATAGAAAATGCCAAACTCCAACAAGAGAACGATGGAATATAGAAATCAGAGTATAAATGCGATATTTAACTTCTTTGTTCAGAAGAACTGAATATTATAACGGAATGACGTGACTTTTATTTGAAGACACGTCAAGATACAATAAAAGAAATGTAAATACAAAACACAACAGGAAAGATAGAGATATAGCAAAAAAGACAATAAAGATTGGAATAATACAATAATACAATGGGATAAACTGGGAAAGTAGAAAAGAAAAAAGGAGAGTACATAACTGATTATGTTGATTATTTCTAACTTTACGATCCTTTCGGTTGATTCTACGTATATTTATACTTGTATTATTGCAATATTTTGCTTAACCCTTAAAATCCTAAGTTTTTTCTGGGAGTTAAATTTTAGTGAAATCAAGCGACGCGAAGCCAAGTGCAAGCGCAAGCAACGGGCTCGACCGTGTATCCTTACGCGACGATTTCAGTGGAATACAGGCACGATTTCTCGTTTGACTATACAGCTAAACGAATGAGATGGCTTAATCGTTTACATTACTTAATAAAACTGTTTTTATTTTTGCTCTAAATGCTCAGAAGCTGAGATATTTTCACTCAAAGTCCGAAATCGTAAATTTATGCGTGAGAAACGTCGTCGTCGTCTCCTCATTACGAAAACCTTAGTTGACTGTATTCCTCCGTTAGAGGCGCTACGGTTGAGATCAGCCTGGCTAGCCGATATGAAAGAGAGAGAGAGAGAAAGAAAGAAAGAGAGAATAAAAGAGAGAAAGAGAAAAAAGAAAGAGATAGAGAAAGAGGGGAGAGAGAGAGACATTTTTTATAAAAATGAATTATTCTGAAATAAAATTTAAAGAACCTGCTTTTTATGTACACCTAAATATTTACAATGTCCAAGTTCAACATATAAAAAACATTATTAACAAAAAAACACTTTTTTAGTGATTAATATTATTTTGTAAAAAAGATAAAAACAAAATTACTTTTTTTAAAAAAAGTATAAAAAAGAAACACGCGTTAACATTATTTGTCTTTACAAAAAAAGATCGTTATAGATAAATTAAACAAAAGCTCAGCTAAAAGATATTTAAAAAAATATTTATTATTATTAATTTATTATTATTATTATTTATAATATTTAATATTATTAAAACAACTTTATTCAGATCAATTGTATTCTTGCAAATACTCTATTGAAAAATACAAGACAATTTTATACTCTCTTCAAAAGTAGTGATATCAAGAGGTTTATGCCAAGTACGAATGATTAACTATTTCAATTTTTACTTTTATAAACATATGTGGTTATATAATTATATATGTGGTTATATTTGGCTATATAATATATTTATAAATTAAATATATTATTAATATATTAGTAACATATTAAATAAAAAGTAAAATAATTAGAGAAATACAATAATGTTGAAAAAAATTATAATAACACACAAAAAGCAATTGGCGTGCCTTTTTTAATATTACATCGATGATCAATATAATATTTTGACAATTATTGAAATAAGAGAACCGTTTGCCTATAAAAAAAGGCACGCCAAATGCTTTTTGTGTAAGTTATTATAATTTTATTCAACATTATTGTAAGTTATTATAATTTTTTTAACATTATTGTATTTTTTCATTATTTTATTTTTTATTTAATAATATGTTACTATTATATTAATAATATATTTAATTTATAAATATATTATATAGCTAAAATTACATATGTTTATAAAAGTAAACTCGTATACCTCTTGATAATAAATATATTATATAGTCAAATATAACCACATATATAATTATATAACCACATATGTTTATAAAAGTAAAAATTGAAATAGTTAATCATTCGTACTTGGCATAAACCTCTTGATATCACTACTTTTGAAGAGAGTATAAAATTGTCTTGTATTTTTCAATAGAGTATTTGCGAGAATACAATTGATCTGAATAAAGTTGTTTTAATAATATCAAATATTATAAATAATAATAATAATAAATTAATAATAATAAATATTTTTTTAAATATCTTTTAGCTGAGCTAATAATAATAAATGTTTTAATAATAATAAATATTTTTTTAAATATCTTTTAGCTGAGCTTTTGTTTAATTTATCTATAACGATCTTTTTTTGTAAAGACAAATAATGTTAACGCGTGTTTCTTTTTTATACTTTTTTTAAAAAAAGTAATTTTGTTTTTATCTTTTTTACAAAATAATATTAATCACTAAAAAAGTGTTTTTTTGTTAATAATGTTTTTTATATGTTGAACTTGGACATTGTAAATATTTAGGTGTACATAAAAAGCAGGTTCTTTAAATTTTATTTCAGAATAATTCATTTTTATAAAAAAATGTCTCTCTCTCTCTCCCCTCTTTCTCTATCTCATTCTTTTTTCTCTTTCTCTCTTTTACTCTATTTTATTCTCTCTTTCTTTCTTTCTCTCTCTCTCTCTCTCTTTCATATCGGCTAGCCAGGCTGATCTCAACCGTAGCGCCTCTAACGGACATTTATAGAGAGTATAAAATTGTCTTGTATTTTTCAATAGAGTATTTGCGAAAATATAATTTATCTGAATAAGGTTCTTTTAATAATAGAATTTTTAAGAAAAAATTTTTTTTTATTTAAAAAATTTATTTTATTTAAAAAATTTTTTAAATATCTTTTAGCTGAGCTTCTGTTGTAATTTATTACGATCTTTTTTTGTAAAGATATATGTATACTGAGGTTATTTAAGTCGCTAGCAACGAGTCTAAGATCAGAATAGAATAATTCAAAATGGCGGATCCAATATCGGCGGTCTATAAATATTGAAATATTGTAAGTCAAATTAATTGTATCAAAACTAAGTATGTTTTAGTTTTTTAGATTTAGATTCGTTGATAACGAATCCGAGAAATCCGTAAAAACAAAGAAACAATAAAACATACTTAACTAACAAACTTAACTATAACTAATAATTAAAAAAATATATATATAGTAGTATACTAAATATTAATAATTACATTTATAATATACTAAATATTTATAACATAATTTATAACAATTTATAATAATTATAACAAAAAATAAATAAATATGTATAAATATAAAAATTTTTTAAATAAAAAAGTATAAAATATAAATAATTATAGCAAAAAGATATAAAAACAACCATAAAAACTAAAAAAAACAAATTTAAAAAACAAAAAAATAATAACTCACGAAAATGTTTATACATATTTTATTCTCAGATAGTAGATAGAAATCATGTAATCATGATTTTAACATCGAATTTTACGTCATTTATCCCTAAAGTTAACCTAAAAATGACGTATTTCTGATAGTCCTAAGCCACAGACAAAGACGTTAGTAGTAACGTCAATTAAACATTACTCAAACTCTCACAATGACGTAAGTAAAATATATCCGCTAGCAGAGTGACTAGCAGAGTCTAATAAGGATTATCTGTCTAATAAGGATTGAATGATCAAAAAGATATCGATATGATGTTAAAATGGCGAAATTAATCTGAAATTGATTCGATCGGCTGGTGATCACAGTTTCGATCTCTCATTCGATATTAATTATCCATCGATATAAAATATTATATAGCTGTTATATAAAAAAGTTAGTCCTAATTTTTTCGTGTTTCAAGATTTCTGGGAATTGAAGACTGTCACACATATACTCTAAATCTTTCACGTATTTCACTCTTCGATAAGCTCCGATAAAATTCCAAAACGGCACTGGTCACTCATTTATATCGTGCTTAAAATGCATTGCTTAACTTGACAATCGAACGGTATGCGGCGATCCCAATGACTCTGATGATATTTTTATGATGTATATTTATATAATGTATCCTTATCGTGTTCACAGAACATTAAAACATATTTACTGACAATTATTAAAACAACGCAACAATACTCAATATACGATTAATATTGAAATAGGCTGTGTTTTAAAATTACTGATAGCGCTGAAAATCTATAATATACATAATATGAACTATAGTTTTTCATCGCTGGCGGTGGATTTTGAGATGCAGCCATAATGTATATTAATAACTCAGTGATTCTTTATGATTACTTTTAAACTTGTAATGTAATATTATAACGGTTAATCTAAACAAAAAAATAGTTGATCGATATAACAATTTTTCCCCAAAATTTCTAACAGGGTTTTTTAACGTAAAGGGTATATAGTTTAAGCATTTTAAGATATTCATTCAAAAGTTATCTGCACTTTACAAAACTTTTACCTTAAGAAAATTACATTATTGTACATAACTGTATACCAATTTTCTTTAATTAATAACTAAATATGTACATGATCATTTGGAAAATGGTAGAGGATTTTTTCAATTCACATTGCTTGGTTCAATTCAATCTAATATACAAGCATACAACAGCAGATATCGCCGACTATTGTTGCTAAAGTTACTGTTATTGTTATCAAAGTTATTGTTAAAATTAATTATTACATATGTCGCTAAGAATATGAAATATGTTGCTAAGAATAGAAAATATTATTTTATTCGAAAAATAAATTCATTTACAACATATAATCAATTAAACGTCAATTATGACTGAATATTGACGTTAAAATAACGACAGCATGCTATCTGAAAAATAACTTACAACACATAGGCAATTAAACGTTTATATGATGCCATTATTGCTAAGCTTTTTTGACGTATTAAAACATGTTAAATATACGTCACTTAATCGACCCAGATGTATGATGTTACTGACAAATTATGACTGAATATTGACTTCAAAATAATGACTGCTTGCTATTTAGGTTGTTTATCTCCTCGCGGTAAGAGCTGAAAACGACAATATAAATTGTCGGTTAACAAACATTTAGCTATACAAAATTTATTTTCCAATATTATCATTTAAAACTTGTATGCTATGTACGGATAGAACGGGTCAAAATAATTATAAAAGTTATATACCATTTTGAAATTTTCTCAATATTTATTCTGTAATTAATTAAAATGTATAAACGAATGAGCGCATGAGAAACGGTAGGACAGGCTCCATGTATAAAAGAAATGGCTTACCTCTTAGCAACGATGAGTAAATAGCTGATTTCGAGG